TTGTGTTGGTGGAAAGTGTCGCCATATTGACTGTGCGCTGCATTTCCAATTCGATAAAATATATTTGTTTTTCCTATGCCCCAGCTGGCTTCTCACTTGCACTGGTGCATGAGCCCGTCCAGTATGCATCAGAAGTTTGCACAGTTTGTTGTCCACCCTGGTCATTCGCAGGGCGCTTTTGTGGCATGAATCAGTCAAGGCCGCCGCACCGGTGATCTCACCAGCCCAAACACCTGCAGTGCCCTGTGTCGATCAGAAGTAGGGCAGGAAAGAGGCTGGAGTGCCATTCTTGTAAACAAGGTCTCAAAAGGATGCATCAGCTACGACACCGAGATGTGCATCTTTCCTCTCCGCGTAGAACGACTACTTTTGGAGGGGAAGGCGTCATCTACGTGGCTGCACTAATTGGGCCAGTTGTCAGTGACAAGTCGCGTCCGTTCCTCCTTCAACATGTGCTGATGGCTTCTGCGTAAGTGCGCTGCTCTGGCAAACTCGCACTTTCCCATGCACCAGTTATGATCGCACTCCGACACTTCTGCACGTGTGCATATGCATCTTCGTTGTGGGAGCGTGAGTGGGTTGGTTGTAGGTGTGGAGATAACGTAAGGCGTGGGAGAAGTAGAAGACTCATGAGCGGCAGTATCAATATTTCCTTAAATATTGGAGCGGTTGCTGCCCGCTTGCATCTGAACGATCTGTTGAAGGTGGCCGCAAACAACGAAGCGAGCACTAAGAGAGACAGAGAGAGAGGGCCAGAGAAGTTACAACAGGAAGTTGACCTTCCTCCTTCTCCTCTTCGTTGTTGTAGCCAATGTAGTCCCTCAATCCACCTAGCTCTCAGGCGGGCAGTTGAGGATGCTCGCTGCCACTCCGCCCTACGTCACTCCAATGCAAACCGTTGGATGCAGAGGGATTGGGGGAAGGAGAGCGGGTCAACACATCAGCTGTAGTCACCATGTATTGAGCGAAGTCGACTGCATCACCTCGACGATATGAGCACAGTCATGAGCTGTCCTACGACATGACACCCTTGACATACCTTTTCTTCAGCTAACCGACAGTGCCCTCATTTGTCAACGTGCTGAACACGAGTGGGCCGAGTCGCCATGCGGTGTGATGGACCAACTCGCCTGTCTCGGTGGCCTCCGTGAACACGCCCTCTTCATCGACTGCAGGTAACATCTGTCCTTCCTCTCCCACCTCCCTAAGTCTGTCCACTAACACCGCCTTACGTCTCTCCCTCCTTCCATCACCCACAGCCCATTCATGCAATTGAGCTTTCTCCTCACCAAATCCTTAACAGACAATATGCCTCCACCCTGTCACCATAACAAGATGCGGGGAGTGAGGTGGTGGTATAGCGAGCCTAACCCTACCCACCCACTACACGCCTCCTCGCTCCCTCCCTCTATTCGTCCCCCTTTTCTACTCATGCCACGGTTGAGATGCCCATTTTAGTAAAGTGACAACAAACAGTTCGGTTGGCCATACGACTGCTTTCACTTGCTCACAGATCTAATGCCTGCAAGCCTGCGAAG